ATATTAATATTGTATTCATTATGGAGTTAATTGGGAAGGGAATCGGATTCTACTTTAACTATAAATGGATCTGAGAGTGTGATTTTGAAATAACTGATTGTTTTGAAAGTTCAGCTTTTGAATCAGAGCAGTGATGATTGATCTGTACTGTTATGTGTGATGTTGGCTTTTTTATCTCATGCTTTTAAATTTATATTGCAAGAAAGAAATTACTAATGTGTTTTAGCATTGTACATAAGTGTAATAAAATTTTCTTTTAATGCTTAAAGCACATGTTTTTTTTAATTTTTTCCCTTTGCTGGAAAACCAATATTCATAATACCCCTTAATATGTTGGCTTTCCTTAAAAAAATTCTGTATTTCAGGCTAAAAATTTACCCAAAATTTAAAAATAAATACATATAATGAACATACATTTAGTTTTATATTATTTTCTGGAATAAAAAAATAGGCACTTTTATGACAGTTTTCTTCAAAATTACATGGCCATTAAAGGGTTTAAGAAAGATAATTTCAGTTAATTTCCAAAAGTATAAGTTATTGAATTTTAAGGTCATGATGTGGTACGCAAACCACTGAGCAACAGTTAATGTTTAGAGTAATTTTATTCTTGTTTAGACAAAGGTAAAAATTTAGTTGATTGTATATATATTTTAATTTTCCTTTTCTTTTTAAAATGTACAATTTACTATTTTCTTCTAGATACACCAGCACCAAAGTCAAAAGATAAAAAGAAGAAAAAGTCACTTGGTGTAAGTATTATAAGTAACATTGTTTGAATTATATATTATGAGGGTGCTTTTTTTTTTTGCTTGATTAACTTAATCCCCTAAAATTTTGTAGATTGTAATAAAATTGTTCCTCAATATTGTTATAATAATAATTAATAGCTGTGTCACACAATAATTATTTTGTCATGAATTTAAATTTCATGTATAATGTATAAAATATGTTGTTTAGTTAATTATTTTGCTTTTTTAAATAGGACATCCAGTGTGAAGAGGACTTTAGTGTGGTCTCGGAAAGTATAGAGGCACGTCGTAAAGAAGACACTCTAGAGTGGCCTCTTTTACTAAAAGTAATTTTTTTTTTGTATAGATTTACTATGGAGACTTTTAATTCGAAAAGATTTTGTGGTTATTTCATTAAATTGTACTCCTCCATGAATATAGCAATAGTGGCCTTTCTATTCAGATTTCTCAGTTAAATCAGTATATTAACTGATTTGTCAGTCTTAGAGTTTCCATCTCCTTCACAACATTTTTAGGTTCTTGCGTACAATTGCAACCATACTGGCTACTTTGAATGAAACCGTACGAATTTTAAAAATACAATACTCTGAAGGGAATATGGAGTTCATAGTTGAAATACACGTGAAAAATAATAATCTGTAAAAGAAAAAATGAATTTTTAATACTTAGTTTAATTTTATTATTTTTGTATTATTTAAAAATTCAGTTTAAAAATCACAGATTCGCATTTCAGTATTCAAGCTTGCCATATCAATGGATGGTTAGGCTTAGAATGGCAGTAGGCAAATAATTAAGAAACAAAGCACATGTTTGGCACTTCAGTGCGAATGATAGAGTGTGTTGTCTTTTGAAAGAAATGCTGTGGAACACTTCAGCAATATGATTTTCTCCTGTTATTTGCAAATCAAGACATGAATGTACACGAGGAGGAGATCAAACGGACCAAATAATTCTGCTAGCAATAAGTACATGTCATCCAATAAGCAACTGCATCAATACCTTTTGCTCTTCATAAAATTGGGACAAATGTTGCATCATTTTAGAGATGGCAGCAAATGGTATGTTTATTTTTTCGACTTATTATGTGCCTGGAACATTAGTTATTGAACACAAGTTGTAAAAAAATTTGTGCTGTAAAAATTGGAGCAATCTACATTGAAAGAGACAATGACACACAATCTTTTTCAAGAAAGTATTCGATACCTCGTATTTGGTATACGAAGTAGTTGAGCGTAAAAATTTGTAGTAAAATTTGCTCTAGTTTCTGATACCTGGTACAAGCTGATTGAAAATTTGTTGTTTATGCTATATAATTTTGAATAAAAAGTAATCATTGATGAAAAGTTTTTTCTGTCTAAATCAAGATGCAGATTCATCCAATACATGGCAAATAAACTGGGCAAATGGGTTGAAATTAATGTAAAATGAATATTATTTAAATGGTAATATACTTGGCCAAGGAAAACTTATTTACAATTTGAGGAAGTTTGATAGCCTTTTCATGTTTCTTACAATGTCCTTGATATCTCTAATTTGAATTCTAGTATAACTTTCAAGCTATCTTGGACACCTGAATTTTAAATTGAGAATCTATTCTTGCAATCATGGAAGAACTATGAATTGGTGCTTTCCGCTACAGATGCTTTTCCCCTTCCAAAAATCAACCCAGTATAGACCCTAAAATGAAACTATCAATGTTGCAAAGGACAAAATAAAACTTCTGCAAGCTTTGAGGGTTTGTAGGACTCAGTTTGTGATAAATGTGCTGCTGTTACAGTAAAGCTAGCATATTGTGGTATTTCCGCTAATGCGCAGTTTTTGAGAAGATTGATTCTAAATTTACGAAGAGATTTATATTGAAAGTGGCAGAAGAAAAACATATCTTGTCTTTCTAATAAAGATGAACTGAGAGCTCTTATTTAGGATTTTGTGCACCTGTTAATTTTTTGTTCATATTTGGTATTTAATCATGTTGGCAGATGTAGTTAGCATTAGTGGTTATAATCATAGATTTTTTTGTTATTTAATATTATTGTATTTTTGAATTCCTGTATTTTGTTTTTCTAGAATGTCAGTAGATTGAATGTTAAAACATGTCATTACACTCCTTTACCAAATGGCTGTTCACCTTTGAAAAGGGAGATGATGGACTATTTGATGTCTGGTTTTATAAATTTGGATAAACCTGCTAACCCTTCATCTCATGAAGTTGTGGCGTTCATAAAACGTATTTTAGAAGTGCCCAAGACTGGCCACAGTGGAACACTTGATCCCAAGGTGTCAGGATGCCTTGTCGTTTGTATAGGCAGAGCAACTCGACTAGTAAAGTCTCAGCAAGGAGCCGGAAAGGAATATGTCTGCATTTTTGGACTCCACAAATCTGTGGAAGATCCAAGTAGAGTCGCAATAGTAAGTAGTTGAATTTTTTCAATACTTTGAAAAGGTTTTGGTTTTGTTTAGTTTTAATTTATAGATCTTTTGTGTCATTTTGGAATAATAGTCTTTTTAAAGAATCTCTGATAAAATGCTTTATTTTCTTTCCCTTCTATTGATACCTAAAGTTTAATTAATACTTCTCTGTTATTTGAACCTTTAAACTAAACATAGCACATAGAAAGCATGCCATATTCTAATTTATTCTGGTTGCTAATAATATAAACAGGAACTACTGCTGTTTTCAAATATTCATTTTACTGTCATTTTATTCATTACACTCTAACTAGATTTTTTCCCCCATCATGATGTTATGATGAAAATCTTAAAAGCTTCCAAGGTAATGAACCTAGAAGGCATGATTATTGTGATAGCTTTTTACAGCTAACAGTCACACTATTCAGGCGAAAGTAGAAGTAAGAAGTACTACTCAGGATGGGATCTTGTTGTTTATCCGCATAACATAGGCCTTGTTGTTTATCCGCATAACATAGGTCTTGTTGTTACTAATGCCACCTGATTGGCAAAGGTAGGATCTAGGCCCACAAAATTCATCATGGCAAAAAGCTAAGTGATGCTTGTCGTTAGCTATAGCTTTGAGCACCGTGCAGGTGACAGTACGATTCCCCTCGGTTCCACCCCAATTTAGAAGGAGAACACTCTGGGGTTGGTCAGAGGCCACCCACCTCTCTTACTCTTCCACCAACCACATGAGAGGACTTGCGGCTCAACGGCTGTTTAGAGTACCCTCATGCCGCAAAGGCACTATACGTTTACAAACATCCATGTCTTCTCCGGGATTCGAACCCAGTCCCTACGGCACTGCAGTCAGCATCACTAACCACTTTATTGGTTGGGCGACACATTGGTCTTTGTGCTATGAATTGTTTCTCAGGGTCTTGGATTCTTTTTAAGAAAATAGCACTTTGTTTATTGTTGTGCTTATTAACTTCTACATTGTGAGTTTAATGGCGGATGGATTGTTACCTGTAAATTGATACTATTGCTAATGTTTATGTTCGAAACAGCTAGGGAGGGAATGTACATTTTTAAAAAGTTATTCTTCCTCTGGAGGCTTAGTTGCAATCCACTGAGTAAAAGTAGGCTGTCATTTTTAGTAAATGCTAAGTTTTTGCATGCACATAAATGGACACAACACATGTTTAGCACATGATTGAATAATCAGTATTAACTAGATTGGTGGGTTTTCTTAAAATTGCATCAAGTGTAAAAAATAGGTACTACAACTAGTACAATTGACAAATTGTTTCTGTTTTCGTATCAATGTATGCATAAATTATAATAGTCATTTTATATATTAATAAATTTTTATTGTTTTCTAGGCTTTGGAAACTTTAACTGGAGCATTATTTCAACGTCCTCCTTTAATATCGGCTGTGAAACGACAGCTACGTATCAGAACTGTTTATGAGATGAAACTTCTCGAATATGACAAAATACAGAATTTAGGTATTTGGATTGCTTTTTTCTGTGTTTAAAAATGTTCAAAAGGCGGCATTTTCATGTGCATACAGTTAGATGGTCCTTGACCTTTGTAGCTAATTAGTTTCTGAAATGTATGTGAAAAATTGAAATGTAAAAACTATTGCCAAATGTAAAGCATCGTAAAAGAAATCAATGTTTTTTAAAAGTTTATTGAATTGCATTAGTACATACATGTGTTATATTGTTTGGTATATTTTATATGAAAATTTATCAGTAGTTTTGTTGTTCACTCTCTTTATCCTGATAAAATGTTCTGTAACTTTTTTTGCCTTTCACTCTTTTGTCCTCTGTACATAAGATGAGACCGCTGTAGCCTAGTGGTTATGGTCATGGACTTGAGTTCGGAGTGTCACGGGTTCAAGTCCTGATGCCACTGAAAACCAAATCTGGGTAAACACAAAGAACTGTATAGGGCACTGTTGGAGTGGCAGGAAGTGTCATTGTGAGGCTGTGAAATCTATTCCAAAAAACAGGGCATTTTGACATTTGCAATGTCATCCACGTGCTACCACAGCAAATAATAACTAACATATCCTGTAAACAGTTTGTCGCTACAGAACAACTGATGCAACTCAGATTCAAAGACAATTTTTTTTTTGGCAACAAGGTGAAGGGTCTCATTCCTGTGATTAACATGTATAAATTTTCCATGCAATACCTCAAAAAGTCTTTTAGTTATCATTTAAAAATAAAGTTTTCAAGATATGGTCTTTGAATAATGTTGACAGTTTAGAGAGTATTTTTATGTTAAGGTGTGTTATTAAAATTATATTGAATTTTAATTCTTTCTAAATCTTTTTGTAGTTTCTTCTCTCAATAAAGTTGTAATCTTAACATAGATGAGTAATTGTTATTTAAGGATAATTATATATATTTATGATCTTTTAGGTATTTTCTGGGTCAAGTGTGAGGCCGGTACCTATGTTCGTACTATTTGTGTCCATCTTGGTTTAACTCTTGGAACTGGAGGGCAGATGCTTGAACTCAGGAGAAATCGGTCTGGAATACAAAGTGAAAATGTAAGGCTTATTTATTTAAATAGCAGTTATTTTTCTAATTAATTGTAAAATTTTATTATTAATGTTGCTATTAAATTGTAGCATTTTTGTTGTATGGAAGTTGCAAATTTTTAAAAATACATAATGTTACATATTTTTTGCAATGAATGCTTAATATGTTAATATTGCTTTCTTTTGTATTTATTTTATGGTAAAATTGTTATATTTGCAAGCAGTGCTGTTCCTTCCATTATAATGGTGATTCAATGCAAATTTGGCAAAATATTGGCGATAGAGCCAAGCTTTTTGGCATTATATTTTGGGAAATTACTGTCTTAAATATCACAATCTATGATGTAAGTGGATCTTTCGAGAAAGATCCATGTAGACTATAAGTTAGAGTTGCTCACTAAAACTGAATAAGTATTGTTTGGATCGTTGAAAAGTCTACTGGCGATTAGTTGCTACGCTGGAGTTGAGTGCTTGCAAATGATCTGTACCTATTTGTATTTTTAGATACTGATGGTTGTGTCTGAGCGGTGTAGAAGTTACAAGGCCTTCTGAGATTTATTATGGAAATTTTGCTGCTGTGTCCTGTATTTCTAAAGATTGTTTTTCTGCATTAAATTTTTATCGCCCTTTGAGACTGATAGCATAAAGTCCTCTAACCCTAATCTTCGTATTTAAAAATCCTATTTTCTTACTAAACATAATGGCTCTATGCTTTTCAGTCTTATTTAAATTTGTGTTTGTGTATATATTGTATTTTCTAAAATATTATTTAATACTATTTACTTGTGTAAAAAGTATGTAATCAATATATACATCCTAATTGATGAAAGTGTGAAGATAATAATTTTTACATATTGTTACTGATGAAGAATAATTTAAAAAATTGAGTGTGTAATATAAATTGGGTGTTTAGAGTGTTCAGGAAAGGTGTTGAATTCATTTTTGATTTAGTGGATAGATAAGAAAAGTTTTGAAATTCTCTATTATTCTATATAATCATATGAAACATTTATTTTCATTTTTAATTTAAGAAAATTATTAAATGGTGGGTTTTAAATTTTTTTTTACACTGTCTTGTATTGAATTGGTCATGGGCCCTGATTTTAAAAATATTGTATTGGCTAACCAGTTGAAGGCTCTAACTAGTAATATAATGCAAAATTTTGGTTAACTTCACTGAAGTACTAATGTTATGATTTAATTTAATATTTTATTGATAGTTTGGTATACTAAAAATTATTAATTTATTATAATGCTCTTGATATATCTGTATTTGACTTATTTAAAAATCACAGATGTAGTTTCTCATTATGTTCTATTCTGATTGTAAATTCCCAATCACAGTACTCTCTGGAGGAAATCTAAATTTTCTTGTCTAAATTAAATTCTAACATTTAACTGCAACTCTTTAAATACTGTGTATTTTTCTATTTATGCCATGCATCTTGGTCCTACCTATTGTATAATTTCAAATACTGTATGCATTTAAAATCGATCGATTATAATTTTTAAAACTTATTTCAGGTAAATTTATATACTATGCACGACATACTCGATGCTATGTGGCTCTATAAAAACCACAAAGATGAAACATATCTCCGAAGGGTTGTTCAACCCCTTGAAGCACTTCTAGTGAGTCACAAGAGGATAGTAGTGAAAGACAGTGCTGTAAGTAGTTATTCATTCATGAAACATTGTTAGCTGATTAGAACATTTTTTGGATATTAAATTAAATATATTCAATGGGAAATGTATAAATATTAAAATTTACTTCTATTCTATGTTCTTTAAATATACTATGCAAGCAAATATCTGAAAGGTAACTGTTAATGTGTATATCAGTGCTACTTGAAAAGGGCGAAAAGACTATGGTCCATGTATCATATGACATCTCTTCTATTTTCCAGACAATTCAAAATAGCCTGTGCAATGCTGGACTATGCAATTTGCTTTGAATTTGGGCTATAGTTTTATTTGTATTATTTATAGTATTTCCAAATACTACTATATCATCTTCATTTATTGCCTAAATAACATTTTTAATCTTATATACATAATTTCACAAAGATAGTTCATAAAAATGTGACTGTCATAATATTCTGTAATTAGTTTTTTTCACTCAGAGAAACTCTTGGTATATGAACTATAATGATTTAAATTTAGAATATTTTTGTTTGTTGAGGAAGTCTGTGGAATTATTCATATATTATAATAAAAAATTTCACTTGTGTTATTTTTATTTTTGTATTTTAAATAGGTCAATGCTATATGTTATGGAGCAAAAATTATGTTACCAGGTGTTCTAAGGTATGAAAATGGCATTGAATTAAATGAAGAAATTGTGATAATGACTACTAAAGGTGAAGCTATTGCTTTGGGTAAGAGGAATGAAATGTTTAATACTCTTCAACTTCATCACTTTTTATTAAATAAAAAATAATAAAGTTCCAGTGCAGTGGTATTTTATAGCTCATATATGGTTATTGACAGAAAAGTAAATTATCATGCCAGTTAATTCGTCCAATTTACAGTAAAACAGTTTAAATAATTCACAACCCCATATGAACTTGAGCTAAAATCTTTTATTTATTTTCTTCACTGTTGCCATTCACATAAATCTTTTATTTACAAAATTGCTTTAATACAAGTTGAGTAGTGTTTCATTTATTATTATAAACTTCTTAGAGTTTTGAATTTATTTTAGTTTATATATTAGGTTGGGGGAAAAGAAATCCATTATTTTTACACGAAATTCAAGACATTATTTAACATATTTCGGATTTGGGTCAAATATGCACCATTTTGCTGTATAATTTTTTGCCATTTTAAAGGTAGCTTCATAATGCCTCTCTCATAGAAGTCTTGGACCTTATTGACGAAAAACTCTAGTAATCGATTTTCATAATCTTCTCTTGATCCCAATTTCTTATCACTCAGGAAGTTTTGAAATGCGAGAAAAAGGTGGAAATCGCTTGGTGCCAGGTCCAGACTATACGATAAATGCATTAAAACTTCGCAACCAAGCTCCTATAGTTTCTGGCTAGTCACTATAGAAGTGTGTGAATAGGTGTTGTCCTGATAGAACACACCTGTTGGCAAAATTCTGGTCAGTCGCTACCTTCAAACAGTCCATTTGTTAACAGATATCTGAATTTAGTGTTTGGCCATACGGAAGCAACTCATAATAAAAGATTCCTTTCCTATTCCTCCAAATACACAGTAGAACCTTCCTGGCTGTTAGTCCTGGTTTGGCCACCGTTTGAGGTGCTTCACTGCGATTTGACCACTATCTTTTTCGCACAATATTGTCGTATGTGACCCATTTCTCATACCCAATCACCATCCGCTTAAGAAATGGGTCGATTTCACTTCGTTTGGCTATGGCTTCACAGATGGAAATTTGATCCATCATGTGTTTTGGCGTTAATTGGTGAGGCACTCAAACATCGAGCTTCTTTTTGAATCTAACTTGGCGCAAATGGTTTAAAACTGTTTTATTGTCCATCTTTAGCTCCTGGGGGATGCTACAACTACTAACATGCCGGTCAACTTTGATTATTTTTGTGATTTTATTGACATTTTCGACGTCAGGCCTGCTTGTGCGAGGTGTATCTTTGACATCAAAAATACCGGAACGGAATCGATGAAACCAAAATTGCATGTAATTAGTTGTTACAGTATCTGCACCATAAATACCATTCACAATTTCAGCCACCTGGCTTGCATTTTTGCCTTTATGGAAAAAAACTGTAAAATGATCCGAATTTTCTCTTTGTTGACTTCCATTTTTAACATCCTGTGACTCACAACTGAATGGACCAAACAAAAAACAGCAGAAGATTTTTTTTTTAGTCTGAAATGTCACCTTGACAACGAGCATAAATTTGAAATTGTTTGATTGATACTTCACGAGATATCGGCAGTACAGCCATCTACCGAAAAAATAATGGATTTCTTTTCCCCCAACCTAATATACACATGGGTGACAAAATAATACGAACACCTATGAAAGAGGAGAAATGCTTTATTAATAGGGAGTTGGACCCCCCTTTGACTGAATTACAGACTGTATGCGACGTGGGATGGACGCATAGAGGTCATGAACAACTTTTAATGGAATATGAAGCCATTCTTCGTGGATAGCGGTCTCTATAATACCGAAATCGTAGATGGTGGGGGGAATCGAGCACGGAGTTTTGACTCCAAATATCCCCACAAATATTCAATAATATTTAAATCAGGTGACTGAGGGGGCCAAGAAAGATGACCTACGTCCCCCTCATGCTCTGCAAACCATTCTTGCACGATTTTAGCTCTGTGGATAGGAGCGTTGTCGTCTTGATAAAATGGGCATTCTCCGGGA